CGCACGCTTTAAATCCCAGTGCTTGGGAGGCAGAGGCAGGCAGATTGGGAATTCATAGTGAATTCTAAGACAGCCAGGGCTACCCAGAAAATTGTTGTCTTTCAAAAAACATATATATATATATATATATCACATCCTTGCTATACAGAGTTCAAGGCCAGCCTGGGCTACCGGAAGCCTTGTCTTAAACAAGCAAACAAGAACTCTGATCCCTTAAGAATGTGCCATTTACCAGTGGCGGTGGTGCATGCCTTTAATTCCAGCACTCGGGAGGCAGAGGCAGGCAGATCTCTGTGAGTTCGAGGCCAGCCTGGTCTATAGAACGAGGTCCAGGACAGCCAGGGCTACACAGAGAAACCCTGTCTTGAAAAACAAAATGCAAACAAACAAAATTATACCAATCACATCTCATTGTTGTGCTGCACTCCACGGTTACTCAGTGGGTCCAGAAGGGAAAGGACTTATTCGTGGACCGTGAGGTAACAGATCACATTTGAATGTTCTGTTTTTAAGACCCAAGAGTTCACCTTGAATTGGGGACATTCTGGAAGTTAACCCGCGAGGGACCTCCAGCAGAACCTCTGGGGAAGCCTTGAAGCACCTATGCCGAACATCAAGGCAAGTCCAGGCACCCTCTGCTGGCTTCAAGATCTCCTGGAGGGAAAACTGAGCCATCCGTTCCTGGGAGAGGAGAGCCAAGCAGGCCGGAAGAGGGAAGAGTGATCCAGGTACGTCCTTCCTTGTTCCAGTCGGACCTATTGGTGTGGCGCGTGTGTGTCTGGTGCCAGGTAGCATCCGCAGGTCTGATGGAGAGTGTCTGTGTAAGCAAGAGGTTCTGGGGAGACCAGCCTGTCTTCCGGGGTGCCACTCCCCCATGGCCTGGGGGAGAAAGAGTGAGCCCCGAGTGTGAAGTGCTTTTCTCGTCCCTTGGCCAAGATACCGGACAGGGCTGGAGAGACGGCTCAGTAGCTGAGAGCACTGGTTGCTCCTGCAGAGGACCCGGGTTGGGGTCCCAGCACCCAGATTGATTGACTTACAACCCCCTGCAACCCCGGCTCCGAAGGATTTGACACACAGTGACCTGCGCGCGCGTGCACACACACACACACACACACACACACACACACACACACACACACACGAGTTTCAATTGTTTAATGCCTGACAGAAGACAGCTAAAGGCGAGCAGGGTTTATTTCGGCTCACGGTTTAGACCAGTGGCTCTCAACCTGTGGGTCGAGACCCCTCCGGGGGTCAAACAGCCCTTTCACGGGGTCACATGTCAGATCTCCTACACATCAGATATTTACATTACGATCCCTCAGAGTAGCAAAATCACAGTTATAGGGTAACAAAGAAATAAGGTTATGGCTGGGGGTCACCACACCTTGAGGAGCTGTATTAAAGGGTCGCAGCATCGGGAAGGTTGAGAAGCCCTGGTCTAGAGGATTCCGTCCATCCTGGCAGGGAAGTCAGGGCAGCGCTCAGGGGCGCAGGAGTGTGTGGTGGCAGAGACTTCCCATATGGTGGTGGGTATGGAAGGTAGCCCGGAACCGGAAGTGGGTGTAGTCGTCAGAGGCCTGACCACAGTGACCTGCTTCCACCTGCCAGGCCCCGTCACCTGCAAACTCCACAGCCTGGAGAGAAGGCTCGGCAGGGCACTTCCTGCTCCTCCAGAGGGCTGGAGTTGGTTCCCAGCACCCACGTCGGGCCGCTCAGGGCCCTCTGATGGCCTCTTCTGGCTTTCCCAGACACCGGCACTCATGTGCCCTGCCTCCCCACACGCGTACATATGAAAATAAATATAAAAGGAGCAGCCCATGCCAGACCCTGAGCGTTCAGAATGTGAGCCTTCGGAGGACATCTCAGGATTTCCACACACACCGCTGTCTGACCCGGCAGAAAACCATGCTGGAGGGTAATCCACAGGTGCTGTGCACATGGAGACCCTGTGTTCGTGGTCAGTCCCCGGAACACCCAACACTCCATTTGGAGTCTGTGGGCAATTTCAGCTTGTCATAGGCTTGCCTCACACTGTAAAAAGACCGTAGCCGGTGCCTCCTTGCTGAGAGCTGGGTGTGAGGGCATGCCTGCAGTCCCAGCACTGGGGAGACGGAGGCAGGTGGATCTCTGTGAGTTCAAGGCCAGCCTGGTCTTCACAGAGTTATAGGCCAGCCAGAGCTACCCAGTAAGACCCTGTGTCCAAAAGAAGGGAAAGAGAGAGAGGTGTGGGGGGAGAGGAGAAGAAGAAGAGAAAAGAAGACTGGGAGCCAGGCCTGATGAGTCACACACATACCACATGATGATAATCATGGAACTCAGGAGGCTGAAGTAGGAGGGCCACAAGTTTGAGGCCTGTCTGGGCCACTTAGTGAAAAAAGAAGACAAGAAGTCAGGGATTCCCCTAATGGTCCAGCTCCATGGAAGGGGCCACAGACTGGAGCTCTCCTGAGCTCTGTCGTCCTGTCTCAGATGACAGGACTCCTGTCCCTTTTACTGTGTGGCCCTGTGCCACACCAGGTCCACCCTGATGGAAGATTGACCCAAGATGCCCTCTGAGTGACCAAACTGATGTGCTTGATAGGGCTGACAAGGGTTGGACGTGGAAGTCTGGCCTTGGCTCCAGGTCCCTGCGGGGTGACGAGGCTCTGACTCACCTTCCCGACCCAGACTTGAGTTTCAGTGTACGGCTGAACCTCAGCAAGCTTGTTTCGATTTAGCTTGTGATCCACATGTGATTTTTATTTTATTTAGTGTGTGTCTGAGAGAAAGCTAAAGAAGCACGCATATGCCATAGGACATGTGGAAGTCAGAAGACAGCTTTTAGGGGCTGGTCCTTTCCCCTTGTTGAGGAGGGTGTCTCTTGTCTCTTCCCTGCTTGGGAACCCAGGTTAGGTGGCCCCCGAGCTTCTGGCCAAGCCTCCTTCCTGTCTTCCACCTCTCCTCTTCTCTCTGGGATTTACAGATGTGCTCACACCACCCCACTGGGCTTTTTCACCCAGGTGTCAGGGATCAAACTCAGGTCTCCAGGCTTGCTGCAATTTTACCCACTGAGGCATCTCACCGGCCCCCACCCCATATTCATCTACCCCCCCCCCTTTTTCTCAGACACACACACACACACACACACACACACACACACACACACACACACATTTTCACAACA